TTTACATTTTCTTCTGCAATATTTCCAAGGTTTGACTGTTCCTCTTATTCCCTCTCACCAAAGTTCCTATCTGGGCCCTGGTAACTCATTTTTCTGGTCTCCCATTCTTTTACTTCTTTGTTCTCCAGTCTCTCCCACATGCTGCTGTAATAATAACTTTAGTTTCCTGCCATCCTGATACTTTCTTTTTTGATCCTTTTGCTCCTTCTGAAATGGTTCAAGGTTTTCCTCCCTATTCCCTCTTACTTCCTGTCCTGCTCTGTACACTCATCCCAGGCCTTCCATTTTCTGCTAACTTCATCAGTCCATTCCTGACTTCATGCCTTTTTTCATGATGACCTTATCCTTGAAAAAGCCTCCCATTTGATCTTTCTAGGACACTCTGTCACCTCATATTTCAAATCTCTATCTGTTCTGCTCAGTTTAGCAGTAACCAAGTCCTCAGGCCACTCCCAAGTGCCACGTGTTCTGAACTTATTTGTGTCTTCAGACTGTAAGCTCTTTGGGGCAGGGATTTCATGTCACCTTCTGGTTATGTTTTACCAGCTGTAAATCAGCATGTACGTCTCTGGCACTATATAAAAAATAATAAAGAATGATAATAATAAAATCTAACCTGTAAGATAAGATTGTGTGTTGTAGTCTAGCAAGAGCTAACAGGAAAAGTAATTCTGAAAGGACTGACTGTTCCCTAAAAGATAGAGATAAATGAGTCAGATCACTTATGAAGAAGAGAATGGTGGCAAGTTATATTGGCATTCAGATTTCCTGTCATTTTGCTGTCGTGGATAATTAATGGCTTTCATCAGCGGGGACAATGTATTCTGTCATCTGTAGATAAGAGATGATAATTACCAATTTGGTCAAGATGTATTCAGCTCAGAAACCTGTAACCCACTTTTCTTTTTCTATCGATGCTGGTGTTATTGAAGATCAAGCTGATCTCTGGCACATCCTAGAACAATCTAGTGGCCACTCTGAATTATGCCAGCTGGAAGGATCCCCAAGGGGCCCACTCAGCTGCCAGAGGTCCCCAAACACCATATTCTCCAGCATCAGCACACCTGGCTCCAGTCCAACAAAAAGTCTCAGTGCTGTTTCGGAGGAGAAAGCTCTCGGAAGTCTCTGGTTATATCTTAGAATAGCTTTCCAATGGTACAACATGAACAAAACCAGGGGCTAGAATCTATGTTTGTATACAGCCCATAATCACACAGGAAGACGCATTATAATCCGATAACTGTTAATTCACAACAAAACCATCAGTCCTACTTGAGGCAGCTAATAGCTCATTTTCATGCAGTAAACATTTCAGGAGCTATAAACCTAGGATGTATGAGATCCAATAACTACTAATTAGATGCATAAAACAGTTAGCTACAATGTAGTAGCAATAATGTTTTCATAAGTAATGAACCCTAATTTGTCTGCAATGGATTTTGCTTTGTCATAGTTTTATCTGTGGGTAACATTGTCTTAGGAATCTGCAGTTTGATGTACATCTGGTATTTCAGGCTTTTTTTAAAAAAATGGAAAGTGAGGAATTTTGGCTTACCTATAAAAAGTTATAAGAAACTGGTAGGGAGACTGTCACATAGACCTTTTCCAACTCTGGGCTCAGTTTTGCATTCCTTCCAACCAGTGGGAATGCTGAGTGTGTAAGGAATGTAAAATGAGACCCTGGAAGAATTGTGCTTATTTTTCTGGGGTTTCTTTTGACAATTTCTCCCCTTTGAAGTTTCCCAGAAGAAGCTCTTACAGCTGAAAAAATGGGCAGAAGACATGCAGATGGCACTTTCACCAGTGATATCAACAAAATCCTTGATGACATGGCTGCCAAAGAGTTCTTAAAGTGGCTGATTAACACAAAAGTTACCCAAAGGTGCTTGAATTTTGATCTTTTTATGTTTTAATATATTTATTTATTTAAATTATTGATCAAAGAAATTTTAAACTACCAAGAAACTATAACCTCAGAAATATTATTAAAATATGCTGAACAGACTTAAAGAACATTGTCTAAAAGATTGCCCTGGAAGCCAGGACCTCCTGCATTTTAATCATACCTCCTACCTCTCCCTGTGGCTGAAACCAAGCTAGTTTAACTCTGTGCTTCATTTTTCCAGTTGTAAAATGGGAAAACGAAAATTTCTAGCTCAGCTCACAGAGTGTTTTTAAGATTTAAAGACAATAAACTGCTCAACTTGATACATACTTAAAGCACACTTAAGCATCTACCTGCTGAAAAATCAAGCCCCTTTTACTCATGTTACATAGAAGTGTAAACACTCCAGGACACTAAACACTTTGAGAAATGTAAGCTAGCAAGCAATAAGTCTTAACTATAATACTTTGTCAAACAAAATCTTGAAAGTAATAATTAAAATGTGACATTTTATATTTGTCTATTTTGTATAGTGTGACATGGCAACAAATGTTTAAAGAAGAATAGCTATTAGAAACCTTTTTAAATGCTTTACTTTTAGAAATAATTGTATTTGCAGTCTGTTATTAGAGGGAGGCATTAGTCAATTTAGAGACCTAACATACACTGTGTCATAGCTAGATGTGTTCCACATACCCTTCACAAAACTTCTAAGAACCATAACAAGTCCTAACTGTTTTTTCTTATTTTTCCAGGGACCTTTTGGAGGAATACCAGTAGAAGTATGGAATTTATTTTATATATATATATATATATCAAGATGTTCTTCACTGCATCAATTGCCAGCTACAAGGAGATTCTGAAATATGTATTCTGTCAATTATATGGGGTGTATCCTAAAGCCATGCCACCTTGCATATCAGAAATTGAATTTTACTATAGTGTAGTGTTTACCAAAGATTATATATGGAAACATCTATTGTCAACAGGACACACAAAATAACAAACTTATGAATTCAAATGTTCCAAGTCTTTATATGTTCCATTAGTTTAGGGCCAAAATAACTCTGTTTACATTTAGTGATAAAATTATTTTTCTATGAAGTTGACTTCTACATCCAAATGATTCCAATCATCAATTACCTGCATTATTAGTAAGGGGCTGGCTGTCACAAATGTATGAGGAGTAAACTTCTCTCTTTAAACCTTTGTTATAAAAAGGCTAAGCTTTTAGGATATTAAACGATAGCCTTAAATAAATTTTTTCAAGCTTCTTTTTTGTTGACTTTTTTACACACCTGTGCTTTTGAGGTAAACCAGAGATTGCTTTCATATAAGAAACTGAAAGCTCACTGAGATCTTTACTTATCACACTATGCATAAATATACCATTCTGTTTCATGATAGTTTCTTGGGAACCATTTTCATTAAATTGTTTCAGTTGCTTCTAAAATTGGGGTTGTGAGAATTTGGTTGAAAAAGAAATTGTGGAAGCAAATGTAGATTTCTAAAGGGTTGGAACAGGACTCTGCAAAAGTTCTTCATTATCTCAGATTGGTTTTTATGCTTCTTTTGATTCAATGTTGGAGAGCAGCTGTCTTTGAAAAGTACATAGTGCTACACACTCCATTTCTAATGCAAGTTCCACTACATCACATCTTCATTCTTTGATAACATCTGGAGCTAAATAGGGCAGTCTTCAATGGTTATGGGAAGTTTTGTGTACAATCTACTTTATTCAGTTCTTCCTTAGGAAATCTCTGTTAGTTTAACTGGTGTCTTTCTCTATGCTCCCTACTTTGCACATAAGCATTGTTCATGGGGAGAATGAACCTATGCACTCCCTTGTCTTCTTCAAATAATACTTTGTGGCAATCCATGAATTCTTGAGGCACTTATGCAACTCATAAGAGCAGCTAGGTACATACGGAATGAAACACATGACTAGGTTTTGCAACTGCAGTGAGAACAAGATCAACTTGACAGTAAAAGAGAAAAACCACTGTGATCACTTACCTCATTGCCCTTATACATCAGAGATTTCCCCATTGGTCTGCATGGTGTAAACACTCTTAAACTCATAGTTGTCCAAAGCAGGTTGCTTTAACTGTTATATCTGGTGTAATGCTGAAACAGCCCTCATGAATGTGCCATTGTGGAACTGCTACTCCCATGAGTGATCAAAAGCCTTCTCCTCCCACTTGTTAGAACTGCAACAATTTCAAGTGTCTATGCATTATTATGTTTTGATAAAGATGTTCTGAGAGTGGGAAGGTGTCTAGTGGAACTTGCTGTGCCATTCAATAGAAGCCTTAAAACTTGCTGCATCAAAAATATGATGCCAGTCCAATATCTTTGCAAGAAGCAACAGATATTGTTGTTGTTTGTTTTACTATAGCATCCAGAAATCCCATTAAGTACCGAAGTCCCACTGCACTAGGTGCTACTCAAAGAAAGAGTGAAAGATCTGGACTTTCCTCAAAGAGGTTAAAGTCTAATTTTTAAAACAAACAACAGTAAATGGGTGTAGCAAACAATCTAAGGCAAGAGTGGGCAAAATGCAGCCTGTGGGCCGGATTCAGCCTGCCAAGACATTCTATCTGGCCCATGGGGCACCTAAAAATTTAGAAAATTAATATTTTTCTGCCCCTGGCTGCCTGTCATGCGGCCCTCGATGGCTTGCCAAAACTCAGTAAGCGGCCCTCTACCCAAAATAATTGCCCGCCCCTGATCTAAGGTGATGGGGAGGGAGAATGAGAGCAAGGGTTGTATAGGAGTGTCAAGATAGACAAGAAGCATGCAAATTGAGTAAAATTAAAGTCCATCTATATAGACATATATAAACAATGAATACCAATTAAATCCAGAATCTCTGCTTTACACTTGTCTCACCACCACCATCAGGCAGTTGACTGTAGGCATCATGGCAGATGAAATATGGACTAGCCATTGGTTTTCTGAGTTAGTTAAGAGAGACATTCATAGAAGAAGGAGTGTGAAAGATGAACAAATGGGTGATGGAAATTGTCACTGGATGAACTGGTGAAGTAGAGACACTGTAAAATGTAAGAGCAGACAAGTGGGGAAGGATTGATTTGTAAAGAGCTTTAATAGTGCTTCTATACCGGGGTGGGCAATTATTTTGAGCAGAGGGCCGCTTACTGAGTTTTGGCAAGCCATCGAGGGCCACATGACAGGCAGCCAGGGGCAGATAAATATTAATTTTCTACATTTTTAAGAGCCCCGCAGGCCAGATAGAATGGTCTGGAGGGTCACATCCAGTCCCCGGGCCACATTTTGCCTGCCCCTGTTCTATACAATGCAGGTGAAGGGGACAAGTGAAGTGGCTCAAAGGGGGTGATTATAGGGGGCTTAGGGAAAGCATAAGGGCTCAGCTAGCAGCTGTGAGAAGTATACACAACATTCTGTTCACTTACAAAGGGGTTGGAGGGATATTAGTGATAAGTACACTCCTCATACCTTTACTTAAATCATTGCTTGATACAAATACAGTTACATAAAACTGCTTGATTGATTGCTGAATGAAACACATTTTGCACTAAGTAACTGTCATTATAGCAGGCAGGCAATATGGGAATTCTTTAGTTGGAATCCCTGAATGTCTTAAACACTAGTTGTTCTACAGCATTGTCACATGTTGGATCATGGAAATTAGTAGGTTTAATTGCTGCCCTTTATTTACAACAGTTGAGCTCTTCTGTGGAAGCAGGTACCTGAAATACCAGCCATCTCCAAAAACAAAATACAGCTCCATGTCTCTATTCAAAAGAAATGGGCATGTGAGTCTGCTCAGAAATGTGAATAAGTTGGGCACAGAGGCATCAGCTGGAGGCTGTTTTGGCCCAGGGAATACATGTGTGAGTGAAAAGGCCAAAAGAGTTCTGGGGTTAGCTCTTTCACAACTGAAAGAGGCTTGGAGCTGTGGACAAGGGAACTGTCTCATTGTGATCCGTGCTCAAGAAAACAGGACTTTATACATTCTTGGAAATTAACAGAATTGCATTACAGATACATTATCAACCTGCAAGGCTCCAAATATTTTGCTCTGTTCAAAAAGGGTAACAATTTATACTCCTTTTCTGAATGACCAGTTCTCTGCACCAAGTGCTGCAGGAAATATCATCCTGCAGTTTCAGAATCAGCTTTTTCTAAATTGACATTTGGAACATCTTTTTGACAGAAATATATAGCTTTCCTCACATTCAATGCTTTCAAAACAGGACATATTCAATACAGTTATTTAAAAAAATACTTTCTTTCTTCTGTGATGCCACTGATAGAGAAAATGAGTGTGCATGTGCATATTGTTTGTATAACCTCACTTCTGCAGAACGGCTTGATTCCATGTCATTCCAGAACTCAAGAAGTGATTGTTCAACTCTCCATGTCTGCATCCATGTAGTAATTATGGAGTAAATGGCATTTTAGCTATTGACTCTACAGCTAAGTTGTCATTTTTTTTTTTTTGTTACATAGAAGTTTTACACTAATACTAGTCCCTTGCAACATGGGCTTGCTCAATATACTATAGGCCTCAGCAAACCAGCAGCAATGAAGTAGCTCCATTTTGTTTTAGGCAAGGGTGGAGTGAGGGAAATAATTTGTACTTCTTTTTTATGGATTTGGACAAGAATAGCAGGAACCACTTGTCTTCAAAACTGTTTGTTATGTCCAGAATGCTAACATCCAAGAAGTTAATATTCTTTAATGCGCATCACATACACTTTAGTTATAAATAAACTTTTCTCTGATGCTTGTCACCTCATGATATCTCTGTCAGTTAAGGCAACTCATGATATCTCTGTCAGTTAAAGAAAACTGTAACTCCCATTTGACAGATGGCATGTATGGAGAAACAGAGGAATATTTAAATGGCTTGTTCAGTCATCCAGAAAGTTTATGATGGAGCTAAAAATTCAGTCCAGATTTCCTGAGCCCCAATCAACAGCCTTAGTCACCAGACTATCTTGTCTGTTAGCTGAAGGGCATTTGGGATTGGGAATCAGGATCCATACATTTCACAGGCATTTTTGCCCAACATTTATAGGAACAGGATGCATTTTATAACAGCTTTGAATAAACTCTTCCCTAAAAGTAGGCCAAAAGAATCTAATTTGGGCATGAGTTTCAACAAGAAGAAAAATTATTATTGCTCCTTTTTGTTCTACATACTTTTTTCACAATTTTTTGAAATCACAGCACAAGCCTATATGGAATGAAAAGAGAAGGAAAATGCTGAGTATTCATAGTATCTAAAGCATACAATGTCATGAATGATATCACAAACTGAGGGAGAACTAACGATACTCTGCTTTATAAAGAACAGTGTTTGTAGCAGATCATGGTTAGCTATGAGCATGTGAATGAACCTGATCAGAGGTAGGAACTGCAATAGCAATCCAGTAAGGGGAAGGAATCATCTTTATGTTCTATCCTTGTCTTTACCATTAGTAGTGTCAAAACCAAAGAAGGGGGAGTCATTTTTCCTCTACATGTTGCTTTATTTGTAGAGCAGTTTGGAAGCAAAGACTGTTCTCAAGTCACTGTAAAATCATAGGTTTTCTGCCAAATCTCAATTCTCAGCAACTCTTAGTTATTTACTTTAGATTGGGCTCTTAGCTGTAGGGGAGTTCATATGAGGGAATGTTACTTGTGCTCTGTAAACCCAAAAGAAAAGTGTTACTAGGAAGCATACCTTGGTAGAAAAGGGTATAGTCCCACATCTTAATTGACGTCCTAGCAGATGGGATGGTGCTGGGATGAGTCTGTGCTGTACTCCTGTAGATGTTATTGTTTCTTTGTGCTCCCCTAGCATCTTCAGAGGCTTCTATCAGTTTTTGTCCTTTGCAGACAGACGCCCAGATCTACAAAGATATGTAGGTGTGCATGGGTAGATCTAGAATTTTGAAAAGAGGGGTGCAGATGGTGAGGTACATCATCACATATAAAACAACACATGTTTTTATCCAGTTAAAAAATAAAACAGAAGCTTTCCTAACATGCTAGGGGCCTAGAGTTGTTTTATGAAGTTTAAGATTGAAGCAAAAACAAAAATAACTTTTATTGGAATGAGTTAAAAACAATCTGCAGGGCTGTGAAATAGGAGCTTTATTACCAGGAACAGCTAATAGACAGCAGAAATGCAGAGCAAAGGATAGCTTATTGGTGGAATATCAAGACCATCAAAAAGAAGAAAAGGTTGTTAACACCTACATTCATCGATTCATAGATGCTAGGGTCGGAAGGGACCTCAATAGATCATCGAGTCCAACCCCCTGCATAGGCAGGAAATCCAGTCTAAATCTGCTCTCTGCTAGCTTGTGACTATTATTTCTTGTAACCCCGGGGGCATCTTGGTGAATAAAACCTCACCAATTCCCTTCTGTGCCCCTGTGATGAACTTATAGCCAGCCACAAGGTCACCTCTCAACCTTCTCTTGTGGAGGCTGAAGAGGTCCAGGTGCCCCAGTCTCTCCTCATAGGGCTTGGCCTGCAAGCCCTTAACCATACGAGTGACTCTTCTCTGGACCCTCTCCAGGTTATCCACATCCCTCTTGAAGTGCGGCACCCAAAACTGCACGCAGTACTCCAACTGCGGTCTGACCAGCGCCCAATAGAGGGGAAGCATCACCTCCCTGGATCTGTTCGTCATGCATCTGCTGATGCACGATGAAGTGCCATTAGCTTTTCTGATGGCTTCGTCACACTGCCGACTCATGTTCATCTTGGAGTCCACTAGGAATCCAAGATCCCTTTCCGCTTCCGTTCCACCAAGCAGGTCATTTCCTAGGCTGTAGGTGTGCTGGACATTTTTCCTCCCTAGGTGCAGCACTTTTTTCTCCTTGTTGAATTGCATTCTGTTGTTTTCTGCCCATATGTCCAACCTGTCCAGGTCTGCTTGTAGTTGTATGGAATGAAGAGTGGAATGAAGAGTTTGGAAGGTATTTAGTAGATTATAATGAGCCATGAAGTCAATTTACTTGCCTCTGCAGTACCTGACTGAAAATGCTACTGCTGTTGCCAGACAGTTGGTTTTAAACCTTGGGTAGACCAAAAATCAAAGGGGGTGGGGTGCATCAGTGCACCCCTTGGATCTACCCCTGTAGGTGTGTAACAGAGGACTCTGCCTTGTTATGGAGAAAGTGAGGACCTTGATTTTCAGACAAGATTTTGAGAAGCCAGAAGAGAGAGGCTGTGGGACTATAAACTCAGCACCAGAGGCAGAGGGAGGCAGTCTGACATGGGCAGAGTTGGAGGCAGGAGCTCTGAGCTGGGAGTTGAGTGAAGCAATGCTGGGAACTGGAGACTGGCTGAAGCTATACAAGCAGAAAGCGCTCCTTATACAAAGCCAAGAAGCAGTACTGAAGATGAAGTGAACTCTGAATAGGTCTAGAAGGGCCAGTGCTCAGAAGCTAGGGGGAGGAGCCTGGGGGAGGCTTGCAGAAGATGAATTCCATTTGGAATTGAGGCTTGGGTTGTGGCTGAAGGGGTAGAAGGAAGCTACTGTGGGTGCATAGATGGCAGGTGCTGTAGTTGATGGAAGACCATTACAGAGGCGGACTGGGAACAAATGGGACGCTTGAACATGGGGGTGATGATTGAGACTCCCAGAGGACTATTAGCTGCGACTAAAGATAGATCCCTAACTGGGGACAGTTAGTTAGGCTGAAAGTGCCCCATGGACTAAACAGAGATGAGCCAATAGACAACACCTGTCTTACTGTGGTGTAGTGGGGGACAGCCTTTTGAAGGGTCATCAATAACACTGAAGATGTGGCAGGTGAGTACAGGGAGGGAACTGCATTAACTGGACAATGGAAGAGATGGGATTAGAGTGACCATCAAGAAGTGCCACACTGCCTTTAGATGATGAATCATTAAATCCCTAAGTACTCTTAGCTCTGTCAGTGTAATGATGCCCCCGTATACCAACACTAGCTTCTTCAGCCACAGCAGAGTCAGACCATGATGTTTGTCTTGAATGGAATAAAACAGAGGCCTATGCCAGGCTTATGCTTCTTGTTTGTGCTGAGGACTAATTATACCATTCTTAATTAAATGAGTTGCTTCTTTTTGTGTATTTTTACCATACACAGAACTATGCACACTCCTATTACTTGGCTCCATTGTTTTTAGCATTATTTCAAAACAAAACTTTTTGTATAATTGTATTTAATTTAATTTATTTTGATTATGATCTTGAATGTTTTGTAAATAGGTCTGATTTTTTTCCTGCCCTTTCCAAGAAAAAGCACATACATCTGAGTATATATTCCAGAATCTCTTAGATATCATAGGCC